AAGTAATTCAACACACAAAATTACAACAAAACAATACTTTAGACAATATTGTAACGCTTCATCGTAGTAATTTAAAAGTTTTTCTAAATACAAAACAAAAAGATTTTGACTGTTTTATCTCATTATCAAGACCGTTCCACAAACTAACACCCTTAATTTAGATGCATCTTCCCTTTAATACAGTTCTGAATTTATGTTTTTCAAAAGTCTCAACACCTTTTAAATTATATATACTTTCTCTTTTGATAAATCTGCTTTGGATATTGGTAGGTAACATATTTTTATGGGCTTTGTACATGAATTTTAAGATATTGCACTCAATGAGATCAACATTCAGTAGATTCATCTCTATAAACATCGGGTTTGTATGATCTCTGAATCCTGAAACTTCCTTTCAATCACTGAAAATAATTTATATTTTACATTTTAAATCTGGGCTCTAAAGGTTTAATGCTCCTGCTGTGCTGCGACTGGACAGTGACACAGACAGACAGAGGAGCGTGTTCAGTTTGTAGGTTAACAGCAGCTCATTCTGTCTGGATTTATGGTGTTTTGAGTTCACAAACAACTCTGATTACATTTTTAAAAGTTGAGGGACATTAGCCTACGTTAGCTCACAGCTGCGCCGCTGATCAGCGCTAACAGGCATGGAGCCGCTGACTCCCGGTCACACCGGGGTCTGTGTTGGTGGTTCTTGCTGTGTAAGAGTAATTATTGATAAGGTGACCATGTTGTAGCTTGTCCTGATGCATCTCAGTAATCCAGGTAGAAAAAAATCAAAAAGAAAAAAAAGTAGGTCCTCTGGATGGTTCTTCTTTAGTGAAACATTTCGTCTCTCCTCCAAAAGACTTCTTCGGTCTGCTGAGTTTCAGGTGAACTCAGCCTTATAAGCACTGCCTCCACATGGACAATGGACATGCTGTAGCTTCACCTGTCATTCGTCCTTGAAAGAAAAAAAGGAGCTTGCAAAGCTGTCACATCAGACAGTTTTCATCAAGCGTCACATCGCACACACATACGCCTTGCTATCTTTGTGAGGACCACACACACCTCAGCCTCGCTGTGCACAAGAACCCGCAGTGTTGGTTTTTCAAAATAAAGTATATCTTAACTTTTCATTGACGTTTAAATAGGATTTCAAAGTCTGATAATGGTTAGTAAAAGTGTGCAAATAAAGGATATAAAGATATATGATATGCTTTACATTGTTTTAGCCTAATATTAGCCTGGTCCTTGCATTCCTACACAGCTCCGCTCAATTCTCTGGCATTTCTCCCATTAACAAGGATTTCGCTGGCAGATTTTTAGCCGGGCCAATCAGAGGACAGAATGTCAATTTTCTGCACAGTGTCTACT